TCTCCCTCCCTCTCTCCCCCCCTTAATAAATAATAACCATTGTTACTATCATTACATTTTAATAATTCCAAACTTAAGTTAAAAAAGTGGGAGTATATTACTTAATTTTCAGGCATAATAGTAATGACTTTAAGATTTAATATCTCCTGTTCTGACTCTTTTTGATGGCATTCAGGACAGAGCAGGAGCTGATCTGAAAAAATACCTTTAATGGCTTTAAGAAACCTTGTGGATACTTTACTACAGTGGAAGGATAATTTTGTTTTTAGTGAGTTTTTGTTTTAAGTAAAACAAAAGCAGAAGGGTTGGAGAGAACAGTAGTATTAATTCTTTGAAAAGTTAGAATTGTCTGTCTCGGGAGATTGTGTCTGCAGGACTTAGTTTTCCTGTTTTGAGCTCTGCTTTTCTGTATTTTCATTCTCAGAGAGACTCCATCTTGGAGTACTGACTTGTAGCTCTGGGCTTTATCCCACCACTTTTGTAATCCTAACAGAAAGAAAACTAACAAGGATTTCTTGTAGTATAAGGAAGAACGGGCAGTGGTCCTGTTTCTGTGAAGCGCTATAAAACAGACTAGACTAGCTAGAAGGATCTGTCTGTGGCTCCTGGGACCTACTGTCTTTGCCTGCTTGTTCTGAAGTAATGTAATTGATCAGATAATTTGGACTGGATAGGTGGGTGGCTGGATGAAGGAGAGAAGAAACACTCACCTCCATCCTTCTATAGAAGTTCATGATAACAGACTCAAACCACTGGAAAATTTGCAGCATTTTGCCCAGTGACAACCACTAACAGAGAAGAAAATACTCCTCCATGCTTGTCCTCTACTTTGTGGTTTAGCTTTCTCTACCATTAACTTAAACAGATTTATAGCTAGGAATTGTTTTTGTCATCTCCCACAGAAGATGGCAGTAAATGGATTATAAAAATTACTATTTTTTTTATATGTATGAGAATTTTGCCTGCATATATGTAAGTGCACCCATGCATGTAATGTCCGTGGAGGCCAGCAGAGAGCAGCATCAAATCCCCTCGAACTGGAGTACTATTTGTTAGCTGCCATGTGGATGCTGGGAACTGAACCTGGGTCCTCTGCAAGAGCAGCCAATGCTCTTACCTGCTGAGCCATCCCTCTGGCCCCAGAATTTACTAATTTGTTTATTTATTTTTTGTTCTTTTTGAAACAGGGTCTTCCTGTAGCCCCAGCTGTCCTGGAACTCACTATGTAGACCAGGCTGGCCTTGAACTCACAGAGATCTGCCTGCCTCTGCCTCCTGAATGCTGGGACTAAAGGTGTGCACCACCACGCCTGGCCACTAATATTTTTTAATCTGTACCTTTCTCTGTTCTTTACTCATTATTCCACAGAATTCTAGAAAGCTTGGTAATACTGATGTCTAGGGTAACCTGCATAGAGCCAACAATTAGGCTCTATATGGAGTTGTATACTACTTTCTAGATTTTTGCAACAGATTGAGTTTAGGAAAACAGGCTAAGGAGATGGAGCCCACAAATGCCTTTGACCACTTTCTAGATTTTTGCAACAGATTGAGTTTAGGAAAACAGGCTAAGGAGATGGAGCCCACAAATGCCTTTGACCTGGTTTCATGTCAGGGAATGGGCAAGGTGGGCATCAGTGATCTTGATCTACATACACCCTCCCCTCCTGTAAGAAGCAGCATTTCCTCCTCTTGTTTGAACTAGCACAGATGCAGGGATACCAGAGATCTAAAGCCATCAAAGCTGGGTATCATGATGGACTTGTAATCCCAGCAACCAGGAGGCCTAGACAGAAGAAAGTCAAAAACAGCCTGGGCTACATAGCAAGACTCATAAAATCAAAAATCTTCCACCACTTCCCATCATGTAGGTCACAGTGTGTGTCCTGTGGAGCTAACTGGGCTAAGAATGACCAGGAAGCTGTTAATTGGTCTGTGCAAAATACAAATTATAATCTCTAGAGCCACATTCAGTTTACTCAGTAGAACATAAAGCTGCATGTCACCATTCCTGCTGGCTTTGCTCCTTGGGAACCTTTTGACAGTGAAATTGTCAGCAAGATCATTGGCCCATCTGAAAGTCCTCTATAGGTAGTTCAGCAAAGCATTTGACTTGTGCAGGCCTGTCATGACATGAGGAAAACTAAGTCTTGGTAAGTTTTCCACTTTACCTCTTCTCCTGGTCACCCCTTTAGATAAGTTGCTTATTCTGTTTGAGTAATTCAGTACAAAAGAAGTGAATCAGGTACCTCAAAAAGAAAAAAAAAGGTTAATTCTTAAATTCTCAGGGTAGAATTCTATCGTTGTTTACCAAGTTGTAGCTTGGGAGGTTTTTGTGTTCGGGAGGTTAGTGCACAGGTCTCATTTACATTAGAGAACTTAATTTTACAAGCTTTTTGTACAGCATTTACACCATTTTTTAGATGAAAAATAATTATATTTCCATGTTGTGAACAAGTGTTCCTAAGCAGGAAAGATTTATTCCTTGCAGAGGTGTCAATAGAACAGCAGCATTCTTTTCCCTCAGGAGAGGGTCCCGGCTCTGGGCTTGAAGCTGATTGGCCTCACTGAGGTGATAAATCTTTGACTTCTGTCTGTATGCAAACACTACCTCTAGCAGCAATGCTGTTGATAGTTCGCGTATCCTCTGCATCTTGTTTTATAAGAACACTTCACAGATTACGCCTCTTCCATGACATTTATGTATATGTATATGCTCTGAAGTTTGAGGGTGTTCTTAGGTGATGTGTGTCTTCACCTTTCTGTAGCTCTCAATTGTGAGTTGTCTCATTATATTACGGTGTTTCTTACTTAAAACAGAATCATTCTCACCTCATCCCTGGCCTCCTGATCCATTGAAAACTGAGCTTTCTGTTCAGTGTTGACCCAGTTTAAAGATTTAGCCAAGTGTGATGACGCGTACCTGTAATCCCAGCACTTGGAAGACCAAGGCAGGAGGATCATGAGTTCAAAGCAAGCCTGTGCTACACCAGAAGACCCTAATGGGGTGGAGGAGGGGATCCATAAACCTGAATGGTATGAAACAGGGACGGGACCAAGGCCTTCAGTTTTTTCTTTATAAAAAATGGGACCGATACCTACACATAGGTATTTAGGGAATCCAGCGAGATAAAAGATGATACAGACTGAGTAGACAAGCTGCAAGTGCTGATGCTTCAGAGTTAGAAGGACTAGGCACCGTGTGTCTGTGGTGGTTTGGGGTTCCCTCCCCCTTTTTTTCTTGTTGGATGGCTCCTCTGGGATTTATGAGGCTGTGTTAGAAAAGTGCATATGTGCCGGGTGTGGTAATGGACGCCTTTAATCCCAGCACTTGGGAGGCAGGGGCAGGTGGATCTTTGGGAGTTTGGGGCCAGCCTGTTCTACATAGTGAGTTCCAGGACAGCTGGGGCTACAAGGAGACCCTGTCTCAAAAAGCCAAAAAAAATAATAATAATAAAGGTGCATATGTAAAGGCTAAGCATTTGTGTGTGACTGTATTTCCAAAGTCAGCAGTAGTAAAAATTATAAGCCTGAATTTAATTGTTTCTTTTTCTTTATACCTCTAGTTCTGTATCTCCATCAGTGGCCATGCTACCATCTGCGGTTTCTGAGTGTGCTAGGGACTTTAAGGCTAGTGATGTGGCAAATGGCCTAGCAGACTCTTTCTGTTGGGTAAAGGTTCTTATATACTCTCAGGTGTTTTGGGTGACTACTACTGTAGTCTGCTTTTGGCTCTGGCTTGGCTAGATCATTCCTGCTTGTATTAATGTACTTTTTGGTCCTCATTCACAACTGTCATCCAGAAAAATCTTCAGATTGTGTTAGTTTTATTTAGTACAACTGGAAAAACTCTGTTACTGTATGTATATGTACACACAAAAACAGAATTTGGAATCTTTTTGGTTTGGTTTTAAAGATATCTATGTGTCTTTGCTTTTTGGTTTTGGAATTTGTTTTAGCCAGCATTACTTTAAAAGAAAATGGATGTTTAGAGGTTTGCTGTGGACGTGCAGTCCCTCTGCTAGGCCTCTGGGGTGTTTGGGGTTTGATGGATTGGATTATAAAGCACACTTGTTTTCTTACCATTATTGTACCTCCCATTTCCAGATTTCTTTTCTTCTCTTTAAGGTAAGCTATGACTTTTCTCAGAATAGATTTTTTGAAGCTGTGGTTCCTTATAGTAGCTTTTCTTGAAATGTTAGTTTCCACAGTTTCTCAGCTGAAATCTTTTCAAACTGCTTTCAAAGACTTCAATTCATTACTTTTTCCTCTTAACCTTAAAATAAGATGTCACCATTTTGGTTTTTCTTAATCTATACTCACTGTGCTTTCTTTACCCATCTGTTCCCTTACATTACTCAGTGCCAGACAATCCACTTCCTTCTATTTTGCCAAGCTTGCATTCTCTCCCTGCATTCCTCCTCCTTAGGTTGTAATTTAAGGAAATGCCAGTGTATTTCTTATAAGCCCCTACTGATCAGAAAGTAGCCTCTAACTGGTGTTTTCTTTCTCTTCTGGTATTCTCATTGCAGGAGTCTGGGTGGAAGCAAAATTTTTTTTAATGGACTTGCATCTCCTCACCTTGATCAGGACTAAAGGACGGAGGCCGTTCCACCCTTTTCCCTTCTTCCAAACCCCTAACTTCCTCCAGACACCCAGGCAATACCCTCTGCCCTACAGGATTGAAGATGGCTTGGCAGCCCTCCCAATCTTATGCCTCCTGTTTGCCAGGGGAAAAGAATCTAAAGACTTCATGGGGTAGGGGATGGGGGTAGACAGGAAAAAACAACATGTCCAGCCCCTAGTCTTCACAGAGAATGGTGCTTTGTCCAAGGAAACCTGAGTTTCTGATTCTCCAGGAGCAGTGCAGTGGTGAAGTTAATGGGAAAACTTCTTCCCAAAGAAAATGGATCCTCCATGTGGGATCTTAGGAGACTGGGTGTGCCAAAAAAAATGCCCAGGGTCCTGCCCTCAGCACTAGATTTGATGGGGCCAAGAGGGTCCAAAACCCTGCTAATATAACCACTCTTTTCTTTAACTCCCTTACTTTCCCAGCTTTTTGTGGAGGGGACCATGAGAACAGAAACTACCTTTTGACAAGCTGCTGTTCTTGATTTTTCTCCTCTTATGTATTGACGGTTTATTTCCCTGGCCTCAAGGCTTTTGACTCCTTACTGTCTGACCTCCTAAGTGGAGTTGGCTCTCCGAAGCAGAACCCAGGAGGTTGCTTTCTGATGGAAGCCTGGCCCAGCCAGTTGCTACCATCCCCAGCCAGTTGCTACCATCCACTGCTTCGAGCTTGGTTGTTCCCTTTCCCTGAGGCTTTTCCATTGAACATGGTGTCCTTTCCCCGAGAAGGCTGCTTCCTTGTTTTAAAGGAAGTTCCGCACTGCCTTTGGAAGATAGGGATATCACAAGGCCTCAGCAGTGAAGAACCCTAAAGTACCAGTGAAGTACCAGGAGCCAGGAGAAGGCAGTCTAAGCAGGATATGGCCTAGTTTTGCACAAGCTCTTTTTTCAGGTTTGATGTAAACATGGGCTTGCATCCCCAGGGTACGTACTTTGATTTGTTGTGGGATAACCTGGCACTAGTAGGCAGGTAAAATCACAAATTTGGCGTCTTTCCACCCTTTGAATATTGACTTAATATTCCCCCTTGCTCTACCTGGAGGTGCTTCCTGCCTTTGACAAAAAGCAGAGAAGAAATGGAGCCTGACTTGAATGAGCTTAGCTCTGGTCCCACTGGGGGCCATTTTCTGCATAGGCAAATAGAATTGCTTTTCCCAGCCTCCAAATTGCAATAGATTGCTGCTGAAGGAGGCAGCAAAGTGGTCCTGGAGTACCGTGGGGTGATGCTCCTTCTGCATGCATCTGCAGGGCCTAGGACAGCTAATATAAGAGATGTGGCATGTGAAATGAGACTTGGAGTGTGGGGCATAGGGCCATTGGAGAACCTGGCTCAGAGGGGAGAGACTGAGTTGAATTGAACCCTTCCTCTCTTCCTAGCACGTTTCTGATAGACCCCCTCAGTGACTGAGGGAGTCTTCCCAGGATTGGAGAGGCACATTCCCTTGGGACAGAGGCTACAGGTTGTAGTTCTTTTCCCATCCCCCAAGCCAATACCTGTCTCCACTTCAGAACATGGCACGCTGCCCAGTAGGCCAAGTGTTAAGTGATGTGCTTATTCTTCAGAGCAGCTCTGGGTGTCTTTTTAAAATGTAGAGAAAAACCAAGTAAGGTGACAGTTAAGGAAAAACAATATATAGAATATCAGAAAAGCCGTTTACCTGGAGAATTGTTTTCTCCCCATTTTTTGTTTTGTTTTTACTCAATGACACAATTTAGTTTTCCTGATAGCAAAAGGAAAAAAAAAATCCCAAACCTCAAAAGGCCAAGGCCCCATCCCCCTGTTGTCGGTGGTTTGTCTTTCTGATAGGTTGAAAATTGTGTAATAAACTTGATGACGATGTCAATCTTTTATACTGCATTGTATTTTTTTCCTTTTGTAACAAAATATTTTTAAATAATAAATGGGGTGTGAGCTGTTTTATGGATTCTGCATTGAATAGATTTGTTGAGGTGTCTGGGATATGGGTATGGGCTGTGTGATAGGAAACCTCAGGCTTTTAGCTGGAACTTTGGGTTGAGCAACAGTTTCTCTGTAGCTGTAACTGACTATGGCAAGCCTCCTAGGAGGCCTCTAGTATGAATTTGACAGGTGCCTTTTTCTCCCTCACTCCACTAAACAGCCTAGTTAAAGGAAACTTCAAGTCATCCTGTGCCATTCAGGACTCCTAAGTCTCAGGGCTAGAGAGATGGCTCAGTAGTTAGAAGCACTTGTTGCTCTTGCAGAGGACCCAGGTTCGATTCCCAGCACCAACAATCATCTGTAACTCCAGTTCAAGGGGATCCGACACCCTCTTCTGACCTTTGTGGGCATTTGCACGGCACTGGTGCACTTACGTACATGCAGGCAATTATACACATAAAAAGGCGGGGGGGAGGGGGGCTGAAAACCAATAAACCTCTAAAGGAAGTCACAGAGGGTAGGTTCCCCTCCATTCTGATGCCAGTAACCACTTCAAAGCAAAGCTAGAGGAAGCCAGCATGAGATGCAGGAAATGGGTGTTCATGAGATGGGAGGTGGAAGCACCAGGGAAGTACCCGTTGGAGTTTTTATTACTGTTGTGTGGTTGATTAGATCTTGTCTACCATACTCAAGGGCAGCTAGGAGACAAGGACACAGAGGTAGGAAACAAGAAGAGCATCAGTGGTTTGGGCAGTGGAGACCATAGAATGACAGCCTAAGCATAAGAAAGCAAAAAAGCAGAGTTAAAAACCAACTTAGGAAGCTTAAAGCCCAAGAATAGAAATCCCAGGATTTGCCTGACAGAAAGAATGGCTTCAAAGGTTTTTGTGGCCCCTGGGAACTTTTTAGGCCACTACCCAGCAAGGTGTGGACCAGTTCAAAGATGGCTACTTGGAGAGAAGAAATGATACATTCATCTACGCCAGTCTTCAGCTCTAAAACGTAATGTTCCTTCTATGTTAACTCAAAATAAGGAAAAATATTTTGTCTGTTATAGAATGTATTTTCAATGTCTTAGTCCATGGCCTGTGCTGGAAAGAACTGAGACAAGAAATATACTTTGAGGCAGAGGCATTTAAACAGTCTTTTAACCAATGACCTAAAGACGAAGATAGCATTGCTCATTGAGGTTAATTCAGGATGCAACTAGGGGAAGAAAATCAGCAGGACACCTTCACTCTGCATCATACCTTACCACTGAGCACAGCTTAACACACTGTTGGGATAGTCTCTGCTTTCTCTTGGAGGAGATGACACCAAGTCATAAGGAAAAGATTGTCAGCCCCACAACAGAAAATACATATTTATTATAAAGTATTTCATGATCAGAATAAAAAAATAATACTATGAACTACTAAAAGGGTAGAGACTGCCATCTCTGAACAATAGGGTGGGAAGGGAGGCTTCTGAGTTGGTCCAGGAACCCACCTCCCACAAGGCTTTCTGTAAGCATGTGGGGGTAGATGTATGGCACAGTATGTATAGAGTGCTGTGGTTCCGATCCTGCTGGAAGCCCAAGAAGAAGCCTAGATGGTCCACACAAGGTGCTCTGGCCACGACGATCAAAGAGAACTTATGGTAGTCAGAAAGCTGGTAGGAGAACCAAGATGGGAACAGCCTTGCCTTTCCCTACTCTGAAATACAGGAGTCTCTTACTGGTGGGCCTGGTCTAAAGATGGGGCCACTGACCTCAGGCAGGCTGACTACCCAAATGCCTGTGCTGAGGAAAAGCTACACAGCCTTTCCCAGGCCACCTTGGCCCACTACTTCACAGATGTGGCCAAGGTATCAGAAGGATGTGTGTTGTCACCCTGGTGGGCTGGATATCTTGTACTTCAAATCCTGTCCACACTGAAGGCAGAAAGAAAGAAAGAAAAAAAATGTTAAAAGACCAGTGAAGAGCAACTGCTAGCCTGCATGTTCGAAGCCCCTTGACTCCAAAGAACCAGAATAATATCTTCCTTAAGATGGAACCTTTTGCCAGGTGTGGTGGCACACATGTATAATCCTAGCACTTGGTAGGCATAAGAAGGCGGATCTCTGGGAGTTCATACATAGCGAGCTCCTGACCATTTTGGCCACTAACTACTGTCTGTAACACTAGTTCCAGAGGATAGAACACCCTCTTCCGGCCTCTCTGGGCACTGCATGCTTGTGGTGCATTTAACATACAGCAGGCCAAACACTCATAAAAATAGAATTAATCTTTAAATCTTTTAATTAAAAAAAAGCTAGGTGTGGTGGTACATGTCTTTAATCCCAGCAGTCCAGAGGCAGAAACAGGCAGGTGGATCTCTTAAGAGGCCAGCCTGGTCTACATAATGAATTCCAGGCCAGCTGGGGTTACATGAGACCCTGTCTCAAAAAAAAGGATCCTGGGGCTGGAGAGATAGCTCAATGGTTAAGAGCACTGGCTGCTCTTGCAGAGAACCTGGGTTCAATTCCCAGCACCCACATGGCAGTTAACAACTGTCCATAACTTCAGTTACAGGGGATCCGACACCTTCTGACCTCCACAGGCATTGCACGATATGGGTTCACCTGCCTCTATGCAAGCAATACATTCATACACATAATATAAAAAAGAAAAGTATCGTTCGGGGCCGAGATGGTTCAGGAGCTTAGTAAGTGCTTGCTGGCAGAGAGAGGATCCACAGGGTAAGGTGGCTAGCTCCAGTAGCCTAATCAGTGCTTTGAGTTCAAGTGAGCTACCTCACATCAATATATAAGGTGGAGAGTAACTGAGGAAGACACATCAACCTCTGGCCTCCATGCACACCGCACATATACACAAAAGGGACCTTTCTACCTACTTGAAGTGGACAGGAATCCCCACAGATGTCCTTTTAAATTGGGCTTTCAGTCTTTCAAAGAATAAGGCATCCCTCCCTTGGTGGAGAACAACCCTCAGCAGTAATACCTGGAGAAGGTGGCCAGTGTGAGCACCTCAAGCAGCAGCTCCAAGCCACAAAAGAAGAGCAAGATACTGTTCATGATGGCCTCTAGGCGGAGCACATAGGTCTGCAGCAGCAGGTAATAGGAAGCCATCATGGCAGATGGGAAGGTCAAAGCCACACTAATGCCAAGAGGCATCTTTCGCTGGCAGAGGTTTCCCTTTGTACCTGTAAGACAGCTCATGGAGTTACCTTCAAGTAGCCCACCAAAGTAGCTGGATGTGACAGGCAGGCAGAGCAGAGAAAAATGACCAAGTGGGAAGGTCACACTTATAAGAGGTTCCACTGATCTAAAAATTATATTAGAGTCATTTATGCCAGAGGTCCTGCTTCCATTCTGATTCCCACCCAAGGGACAATAGGATTTTACATCAAGAAAAAAATTTCAATTATAAAAACAATATACAGCCAGGCGTGGTGGCACACATCTTTAATCCCAGCACTCAGGAGGCAAAGGCAGACGGATCGCTGTGAGTTCAAGGCCAGCCTGGTCTACATAGTTCTAGGCCAGCTGGGGCTACAGGGAGACCCTGACTCAAAAAGACCCCCCCAAATTTTATATATATATATATATACACACACACACACACACACACACACACACACCAGGCATGGAAGCATACATCTATAATCCCAGCACTCAGGAAGATGACAGAATTCAGAACTCAAGATCAGCCTGGTTTGTTTCAAAAAACCAAAACCAAATTATGTGTGTATATACACATGTTTATATGCACATACATATAATTTACATATAAAACATTTACATTGTATGCTTGTGTGCATATATATACAGACACACTGAAAACTTAATATAGAAAATAACCTAAATATAGGAAGTACACTAAAAATATCTGTTCCTAAGTCTGAACACAAGATACTGTATTATATAAATCTTTGTTGCTATTGCCAATGTAATATCTACATTTTAAAAAGTTGCCTTGTTTCTGCTTCTTTTTCATTACTGAGTTTGAGCATATTAGCAGGTTTGTTGGTCTTCTATAATGACTTTCACATGAATTGACAATAGTGTCCTTTACCAGTTTTTTCCCCTTAGTTTGTATTTTAACAATTTTCAGGAATGAGACATTCTAAGTAATAAGGGTTTTACTGTTTCTGGGATTTGAAAACTTGTTCTAGAGAAATCATTGTTCAGAGAAATGGAGAGAAGTCTAGTGCATGTACTGCCATAGTCTCCCAAACAAAGCAGTTTGAGGAACAAGGCACCCTTGTAGTAGTCAGGGGTTGGAAAGGAACTACCCAAGATCAAATTTGGCTGCCAACTTCTAGCTCTACTCAGAAACAGGTAAATCTTGACCCAAAATGTGAAACAACAGTATGAAGATTCAGGACAGAAGTGATGGAATGCATTACCAGATCCAACCTCTGATGGTGAGCCTAGTAACGTTATGTACTGTCTTGTTAATCAAGTTACAGGCACCAGCGTGTCTGGTAAGGAATGGAAACATTCTCTGGACAACACTCACCAAAAAATAGTCGTATTACTTCAATGCCAAGATAAAGGAGGAGCATCACCACATCCAGGACTAGGTTGGCTGTTGGGTATGGCAACAGGAGACCTGCCAATAGAAAAGCCAGTCGGCAGACAACACCTGACAGTTCCCATGTGAACTGCCACACACTCAGGGACAATGAGGACATTAGTCTTAGCTTTCAAAGAACCAGTTAGTGACAGCTACAGGGTACGTTCTCGTAGTGCAAGATGTCTCTGTTACATACCGGTAAGCTTTTTATCAAGTGTCTGGGGACTCCACTCCCCAAAATGAATTACAATGGTACACAGATGGCTGAGAGAGAAATGGGGATGTGTCAGGGTGGAGAAGCCTACACTTCCCAAATTCAAGAAATTCTGCCCAGGGGGCTTTCCCACTGAATCATTCTTAAGCCATCTACTGGAGAGACTTCTGTCTTGTGGTTAAGAGAGATGCTGCAGGGGTTGGGGGCGGAAAAGAATGAACCAGAAGAAAGTTCTTGGAGTTGGCTCTGGGCTAAGGTGGAAAAGGGATGTTGGGGCAGGAGTAGTCAAGACAGCCTTACCTTTATACAGGAAAATGAAGAGTTCCAGCAGGAAATAGGTAGCATAATACCAACAGTTCAGAAAAAACAGTATTTCCAGGGGGGTTGAGGACAACCGTTTATCTGAAAAAACAGTATGAGCATGAGGACAGCTGGAGCTCTACTTGTCTGGTTGTGTTTCATCTGGCGATGGCGAATGGGCTGGCCCCCGGGACGAATTCACGGACGCTGTGGTGTGGAGGGGGTGGCCGTCCCTCCGGCTTTTTCCCCTTCCAGGAATCACTTTCAAGTCAACTGCTCCGGCTTGGGGAGGGAAGGGAGAGTCAAAAGATCTAACCCAGTCGCTATCGGGAGGGGAAACTGGGAGCAGAGACCAGCATTGGTCTGTCCCAGGCCAGCCGATTCCTAACCGCATTCCAGAACAGCCACGAACTTCTAAGGGGACAGTGAGTTCCACACCTCGATACTTGCAGACACTCAGGGTGAGCAGAGCAGCAGCAAAACCGCGCTTAGAACAATGAGTGATCCCCAACATCTAATAGGGGTTCGGACGAGCTCTGGAAGGCGGGGAGGTGGAGGGACTGGGGGTGCCGCTGGGACAGGGGCCTGAGACACACACCTGAGGCTCACCTCGCGGCGCCATCTTCAGTCCCCATGGAAACTGCGTACGCGGCCGCTCCCAGAGCACCGAGGCGCTGCCGGAAGCGGGGCACGGAGCGGCTGGAGCTTCTGGCTCCTCTATCTGCTCGCGCCACTCTATGGCCACCGCGCCAGCCGCGCATGAGCTCCGAGCCGGGTGGCGGTCTAAGGAGGCGGGTGACCTCGCGGGAAGCCGGAACTTCCCCCGGGGTCTGGGCGGTCCGCGGGCTCACCCACCCCAGGTTATACCGCGTTGCCACTTGAGGCAACAGAGGATTGGGCTGGTCCCACCATTCTCTTCCGACCCCGGAGGACCGGGTGACACGGTGATCCTGTTAAGAGACCAGACGACTCGGAAATGGGGCCCAGTTTCCAGGAACACATGACCACGAGGCTAAACCTGATCACTCTATGACCCATAATGTGCAGGGGAGCTTGAGGGGACAGCGTATTCCCAGGTGGGAATTGAAGTTTCCCACAAGATGAGCTCCAAACCCCTTTGGGATTCGAAGCCGGAAACGCAGTTAGTTACCGCTGGCGGGGGATGGGGAACGGAAAGCTTCCGAAAGGACTCTGCTCAGGGAATGGCAGGGGGCCACAGAAGGCACGTTCAAACTGGATAACCTAAGAGTGACTAACTTGTAAGGAAAGTGCTATGCCCCTAGCTGGCAGGGGTGTGGCTAAAGAATACGTGCTACTTCTCAGGCACTTCCCGGGGAAGGGCAGGGGCAATACCCGACCTAGGGAGAAAGATGTAGAGTCTCCTACCGCCACCTCCTCTCTATTCTCTTGGCACCCTCATCTCCGTTTGTGCCTTCTGTTGGCAGACTGGTTTGGTTCAGTTTGGTTCTGGAGACACGGTCTCACTGTGTAGGCCATTCTCTTGCCTCTGCCTCCCACTCGCAGTGCTGGGATTACAGGGGTGTACTAGCAGATCTTAACTGCAGGCCTGAGGATGACAGAGCCCTTGATTGAAAATTTTAGGGTCTCTAGCAGAGCAAGGTGAGAAGATGGAAAGGGATCCTTCTCCTGTGCCCAGCCGCACTACCTTTACAGAAGTTCCTGTTCTGACCCTCAGATGGAAGGTGGGCCGGTTGCTTGGTTTTTGTAAATAAAGGGTTTTTCGTTTTGTTTTGGCCAGAGGGAGGGGACATTGCCATGCCCACATATTTTACATATTGTATATTGCTAGTTTCATGCTATAGTGAAAAGTTGACCCATTACCAACAGAGATTATGTGGCCCACAGCCTTAATACCATCTGTCTCCCAAAGAAAAATGTTGCTGATCCATGTCAGAAGATGCCACAACACTATAGGTGGCTAAAGTGGACACGGAGGCTGAATTAGCAAACAACAGGAACCTTAGCATAATAACTTGGTCCCCTGCCCCCAAGCCACTGAGTGACACTGTGAAACCCTCCTCTGTGGCCCCCTGCCCTGGACTCCTGAGACCCCTGCCCCTCTTTAGGAACAATGGCTCTTTCTCGCTTCTGTAAACCGTTTGATTGCTAGGCTGAGAGGACAAACTGCACTGACCCCATTTTGACTAGTTGCTTCAGGCAAGCCTGGACCTGTCCAGGCATGTCGTAATCTCCACCTACTACCCCCACCCCAGGAGGCTATAGATCAAGCAGGCCCAGGCATATAGCAGCCTTATAAGGTAAGAACAGAGACTTCTGGCCTCACAGATAACAGTCAGCACATTCCATAGCTCTGA